CCCACACCCACACCCACACCCACACCCACACCCACACCCACACCCACGTTGCACAAATTTGCTCTATGTGCCATCGTCCTGTTTGTAACTGTGAAAATGCCTAGAAAATGGCATATCGTTCATTATAATAGCTTCGATGACATTTATTCCTTACAAATCATCATTATTCAGACTAATGTCGATTTAATACTGCACTTCTTTCGTCGAATAAATATCTTCTAATTTCATTCAAAAAGCAAGATATTTGTTCGATGGTGAGAAGAATCAAGATGTGGATTAACTTATTTCAGGCATATTTACTCTCCATCGTCATATAATTAGAAGTGATATATGCGACCAACTTGACAGCAGATCAAATATCCAAGAATCTCGAAGTCAATTTGACAAGTGAATGTCAATAATATTAATTTTTTTTTTTATCAAACCTGATCGATTGTCCATTTGTTCTACATTTTTTCGAGATCACTAAACAATCCTTTTTTTTGTCTACTCAAATTCTGTAATGACTCTCTTTCTCATGGCTGTATCATCAAGAAACAACACACAAGTGAATCATATCAGAACACCGAAGAGTGACAGAAAGAAAGCAATCTAGTCTGTTCGATTGATATGAGTACTATAAATCTGTATATTTTTTTCATATTGCTACATTTATGTGATCAGAAAGAATTTTCATAAGCCTCATTTTGAGCATTATTGTATGACTTGCTTGATTTATTATTGCATGTTCATTTGTTCTATCAAGCTTTGGCAAGTTCAATCAATGTGAGACTAACAGTTGAAGTCAAAATCGAATGCAAATTTCTTCAATGTTCAATTTAAGGATTTAGCAACTTGTAAATGTCTGATAGTGTTAGTTCACGATTATGCACATAGAATTCATCAACTGTACCAATAATTGAACCATCATATACGCCAGAGTCTTTTGTCGATAAGCTTCTACCTTCTATTCATAATCTGTTGCATGTCCAATATGAAAAATGAGACTTTTGTCTGTAACACGAGCAACCAGCAAAGCGATTTAACTAAATTGAGGCCTTTCCACGTACAATAGATGTCATGTATGCAAACTGCTTATTTACATACATTTTAACCGAACGTCTTGTTAGCACTTTGATCGGATTGGTGAATTCGGGTAGAATAAAGGCAATTGTTTTCGTAAACTACAAAAAACAACCTCAGTGTTCAGTTTGTTTTGTTATGATATAAGAATTGCAGAGAAAGATGGATTATTCAATAATTACTCGATTAGAAGATTTACCTGTGGAAGTTTTAATGGAAATATTTGTTTATTTTACAGCTAGTGAAATTTATTTATCATTCTCACAATTAAATAATCGTCTTAATTTAATTCTCAAATCATTACCCAACTTGATTCTTGTCATACGAAAACATGTAGATTCTTCTGTCCTCTCGTTCTTCTATTCATTTAACAAAATCCTCATCAAATTTTTTGGTTCACATAGGCTTGGTTGTAATTGTCAATCCCATTCGATCAATGGTGGCAATCGTTTATATGAAATTTATCCGACATTGGATAATGAATGGTTCCATCGTGATTCCGTCGAAATCGAAAATATTTTTCAACCTGATATTTATTCTCGATTGCAATCATTAGTTTTACCAGGTACTTCACCTAAATTGACACAACTCGTATTTCATGGTAAATTTCCTCGTTTAAGAATCTGTCATCTTGGTAAATGCAAATCAATCATACTTTCATTATCGATGACTATTGAACAGCTAAATTTTCGTCAATTAACCATACGAGAACAAAATGGTTATGAATTAGAAAGAATTTTATTGATTTGTTCTTGTTGGGTGTATCTTGATTTCTCATGTACAAATATTATTCCTCCATTTATTATTATAAATCATTGTTTTCCATCTATGAAATATCTTCGACTTGGTCGTCTTAAAAATTTCTTTTTTCACAATGGTCAATTTGATTTTCTTCTTTCACTCTTTCCAAATCTTCTACAATTCTATTTAACTGCTGATCAATATCGTGAAAATGTTGAAACCATTCAATTTCGAGAAATTGCACATTATCTACGCCATCGATGTCCATTACTGAAAATATTGGTTTTACGCATTTATATGGAAGGACATATGCGTTATTCTTATTATATAGGTCGTTTTAAGGAAATCACCGAGATGCATTCTCTTTTCAATTATATCGAAAAATGTGACTCACGTCTAATGATTAGTTCGCATGGTTTTATTCAACATCATGTTTATACGCGTCGATATGCTCGTCCTTCATCTAAATAATCATATGGAATGATAGATCTATATTTAGCTTAGCTGTGTTTAACTATTTCATTTACATGTCATTTGTTTGTTTTCTTTTCTGATTCTATTAAAATAGGGACCCAAATATATTTGTTAAAGGAGGGGG